CAGAAACAATGTAAGATATCAACAGATATGCTCGGCATCAAACCGCTTCAACGTCAGTGTCATGCCCAGCTTTTCTGTTAGGTTCGGATGTGTCAGACAATGTTTGCAACCTTAATCTGACTTACGCATCAGAGCACAAAAGTTAAAAGTAAAAAAGTACAAGTACTCAAATTGAACACTGTATTTACATTTAGGCAGATTTAGAAAATGCTAAATTTCTAAAATGTCATAACGTTGTTTCTGCTGTGGATCTGGCCACTTAGCAAACAGCTTGCTAGCATATGGATAGCTTCCGGTTGTTCGTCTTTTGAACTTCAAGCTGCAGCTTTTTTACCGCAGTCCTCTAATAGTAAGTTTTGGAGCTGTCTTGATTCTCATTACCCTTATGCTTACTTTGTGTGTTGGCAACATAAGCTTGGGTCCTCATCGCGCCTCTTTGTTAGAGTTCAGATTGTTTTGAACATTTTAATTATAGCTCTGACTAAAGACAAACACACACTTATTTTCATAGCAATGTTTTCTTATTTATTTATTGTTTGTTTATTTTAATTTTGAAGAGGGGCTCAGGGAATTAGGTCTCTATGTCCCATCATATTTATAACCAAGTGAAACAAATGATATATTCTTAAACTACATTTATTTTATAGAAAATGTTAAGCAATGCAATAACTGTAGTTCTGATGACTGGATAATATGTATGGCAAGACAATTTTATTTCTGTCGCTACAGACCAACTAGAAGAGCTACAAATTATATTTAAAAAAATTAAACCAAAAACAATTAAAGCACAAAGTTGAAGTGGCAAAATAAACAAAGCTTTAACAAAGTTAAAGGCAACTCTAAACAAGTGAGTTTTTAGTCTTAATTTAATTGAACTCAGTTTTGACTATTTTGCATTTTTTTGGGAAGTTTATTCCAGATTTGTGGTGCATAGAAGCTGAATGCTACTTCTACATGGCTGGTTCTGGTTCTGGAAGACCTGAGAGATCTGGAAGATTGGCACAACAGCAGTCTATTCTCTGAGTTACAGGGAGCCAGCATAAGGACTTTATAAGAGAGAGAGAGATGTACTCTTTCTTCCTGGTTTTAGTGAGAACGCGACCAGCAGCATTTCTGGATCAGCTGCAGCTGTCTGAATTTTTTTTTGCAGTCAGTAGTTTGACTGAAGATAAACACATCGAGTTTCTCAGGATCTTGTTGGTACAACAGCCCTTTAACCTTGAAAATGTTCTTCAGGTGATTGAAGGAAAACTTAGTAATTGTTTACATGTGTTTACTATGTGTCCTTCATTATTCCCAGATTCTGGGCTGTTCACTAGTTTCTAGCTGTAATAGTTGAAGCTATGTGCTGACTCTTGACCGTTCATCTTTTGGTGGAAGGAAAACTTTTTTTGTTTCTATTCAGCTGCAGAAGGTTATGGCACAATCACACATTTATTTGTCCTAAGCATCTGCTTGGTGCTTGAAAGGACTAATAGGCACCTGGTGACATTGAAATATAGAGCTGTGTTTCATCTGCATAGTTTTAGTAACTAATTGTATTACTATTTGTAAGTTGAGCTAATGGGAGCATTTGTTTTGGGATTTTTACACGTCTTTATCAAAGATTCAGATTATTCCAGAGATTAGTGCAAGTCCTTGTGTGATTTTAATTCAATTATGTTTACAATATGCATCATACACTAAAGGATGAAAACACTGAATTTCTATCTTAGTGGTGATATATATATATATTTTTTTTTACAGATTTCTTTGCCTGACTGTAGTGGAAGCAGATTTATCGCTTTATCTGAAATCACTCTGAAAGTGCAGCGCTCTTGGCTGCTTTGACTGTGCGTGTGTGTGTGTCTGCCACATTTTTGTTTCCCCTTTTATTGCCTGTGCTAAATCACACCTGCTCCTTTTTCGTCTATGTGCGGCCACACCTATGAATCGCTGCTGTGACACTGTGCTTCATAGCAATCAAGCACCCTCTCAATCTGCACCAAAACAGCCTAATCCTCTCTGACAGAGAAAAACACCTAATGGCCCAGCTCACATCTCCACCAATTTCTGCAATGCCTGGCCCTCACTCAGAAGTGATGCATTTTCTCCATTTTTGGCCTCCTTGTTATTGCTTAGTTAATCGGAAATACCCCTTCTGTAAATATGAAGTAGATGCAGTGTATGCTAATGTCGTTTGCTTACTTTCTCCCTGTCAGATATGATTAGGTCAGCCCCATATCCTTACATTGATCTCAGCTCAGAGCAGACACATTGCTCAGAGCAGCCGTGGCTGCAGGCAGCTCTTTATCTGTGGTTTTATGTGTAACGTTTTCACGTCTCATTGAGGTTGCTATGCAGCAGCAGGTGGCTTAGACTCATGGTCAAACTGATTTTTAGGAAGCCTTTAGTTGCATTAAGTCTAGTTTGGAAAAGTTTTTTTGTTTTCTTCAGGGGGTAATTTCCTCAGGTTTCTTTTTTGCTTTATTCCTTCTTTCTATGCCACAACTGAGAAAATGTTATTATTTTCTTACTAAAAGAAACGCACCAAGTGGTTAAAAGATATAAAAAATAAAAAAAATACACGGCCTTTGTAAAGTCATTTAAAGCTGAGTTTAATCAATTATTATTGACTGTGCAGATTCCAAATTAGATACAGTGTGCAATATTACACATTCAAGGCTACACTTCTGTAATGATATTATTAGAGGCAAATGCAACAATGATTATAATGACCGTAATCCTTGAAGGGGAGTGGGAAGTGGGAGGAGGCTAAACTGTGCTCTCTAATATGGCATGAGACTACCAGGTTAAGAAATCAAAAAATAAAATAAAAAAAAAATCAATTTTGGGCACTTTTTGACACAATCTGCAGAATTCCTAAGAATAAGCCAGTTCCTAATGGTTGAAATGATTTTTTTTTTTTATCTGCAGCTTGAAGCAGATAGAACAAAACATATCTCTCGGCCTGCCAACTTTTTATCTGTGTGGTGTTGTGTACATCATTTTCGTGACTGAGTGAGGTTGCAGTCCAGGATGATGTAAGCCTGTGTTAATTCAGAGTGGACAGTGCAGCCTTTGTTCTGTGCCCTTTGCTGCTGCTCTGGAGCTGTGCAGGGCTCGTCTATGTGACCTCTACCATTGTAGCGCGACGTGAATTTGAAGCTTTGTTTTCTTGCCACAGTTTAATTTTAAAAAAAGGGGGAACTGGCAAGTGCAGGCTTTCCATTTGAAAATCCTTATTTTAGTGTCTCTGTTATTTGACTCTTTTCCTTGCAATGTTGAAATGTTTATTATTTTTTTTACTATTCTCATAAGATACCGTGCAACGGAAAGCTACTATTGCTTCTTAAATGCTGCAATATTTTGTCCCATTATGTTTTTTTACATATAAAATCTGAAGAGTGGGGGAAAAATTTGTATCCAGTCACCTTTAGTCTGATTCGCCTAAGTAAAACCCAATTCAAGCAATGGCCTTAAGAAATCAGTCGAATCCACTTGTGTGGGATTTCATCTAAATGTAAATCCATTTGCTCTAAACGGAGCACTGTCCAGTCCATCAAGCAAAAATGTAAGGAGTGACTGTCCACCCAAACTGACAGGCAAGCCAAGGAGAGCCAAGAGGCAGCTCGTGAGGAGCTGCAGAGAACCACAGCTCAGGTGGCAGAATCTAACAACCATTATTCATTCACGCTACAAATCTGGCATTAATGAAAGTGACAAAAAAGCCATTATTAAAAGAATGTCAAAAGGAGCCCTCTTTACAGTTAGCCACAAGGCATAAATTGTTGAAAATACTATATAAAGTTAGGCTATCCGGTTGAGTTGTTGAGTTGTTTATCCAACATTCAAATCACATCTGTGAATGTAGACTTACATTGCACTTTCGCCTGAACACATAACTTTCACCACTGTGAAACATGGCAGTCGCAGCATCACGAGCAGCATTACAAGCTGCTAAACACTTATGATTGGGGAGGTGATTCACCAACCTTAGACGTACTACTAGGAATGGTAAATTTCAAATTTATTAGAAAATATCTACAGTCACTCTCCATCTAGCCACGCTAATTCACACAGAGCAATACAAAACAAGTTCAGTCTGTAGATGTGAGAATCAGTTGTAATTGCAACTTTTTAAAATTACTCACTGTCACACTTTTCAAACTTTTATTTGTAAAATATATAACTTCTCAGTGTGCTACTTTGTGTTGATCTAGTACATAGACTCATAACATAGTACATGCGGGTTAGTGGATTTAAGATAACAAAATGTGAAGGAAAATGTATAAATAGCTTTGCAGTGTGCTGGACTTATTCTGGTAAAGAGCTTTCCACAAATATGCAACAGATCAGCTTGAAAGAACCGTGAGGATTTACTTTCATGTTTTCTTAAAAGTGTTTCATTTTTTGTGTGAAATTCAAAGGAAGGCCAAGTAGAGTCAGACCCTCTTTGATCTTTGTGCTGCTTTTGCATTGTGTCAAAAATGTGATCGAGACAAGAATTTTACCTTACCCTTTTGTAAAGATGAGATATTTGTTGAGGAAGCCTTTGTGGTTAGACGTAATCAGCATTTTTTACAGTCTCCAACAATAATCTAAAACCACAGGTATACTTAAGACAGGATGAACAGTGTCAGAACCTACTTTGCTCTATTTCCTGACCTATTTGTGGTGTGTCACTGGCATTATACAGCAGTTGCAGAAGTACAAATTTACACTTTAAATTGACAGCACATAGCTGCAGTGAGACTTCTCACGGATGCTTATGTGATTCTGTGCTTGTCTTGTAATGTGTTTGCATGATGTGCATGTTGTTGTGGAGCTGCAGCTGATTTTCCTTTTGTTCTTTCTTCAGGTCTGAGCAACAACAAACTGATGCTTCATTTGCACAGCGTGAACTCTGAGCCTGTTTCTGCTGATTAATTGCATACTGACATCATTTCACTGCCGACATTCGAACTGTACCAGACCAGCACTGCTGACCGACATCACAGGACCACCACCCAAATCCTGAGTGAACAGCATCATTACCACATCCACCCACCCGGTTAGGAACCAGATGGCGCTCTTGGCCAATCAAATTGTGGATGCAAGAATACTCAGCAGTATGAACGGGAGAGTGGAGCTGTCTCAGTTCCTGAGAATCACCAATCAAAGCATTGTCACACAGGTAAATTCTGCTCAGGATGACAACCGCAAGAACAGGAAGTATCCCTGCCCATTGTGTGGGAAGCGCTTCCGCTTCAACAGCATCCTCTCTCTCCACATGCGCACTCACACTGGGGAGAAGCCCTTCAAGTGCCCATACTGCGACCATAGGGCCGCGCAGAAGGGCAACCTCAAGATACACCTTCGTACACACAAGCAAGGCATTCTGGGCAAAGGCCGTGGGAGGATAAGGGAGGAGAACAGGCTGCTTCATGAGCTGGAGGAGAGGGCCATACTGAGAGACAGGCAGATGAGAGCTGGTAACATCAGCCAACAGCAAACACCAGCTTTTCTGCAGACCGTTCCAACAGAGTCGCAGTTCTCAGACATCTCTGGGGCAGCAGATCTTCCACCACACCGAGCCACATCTCCTAAGGTGACCCCAGATGAATCCATCCAGCCCCAAAGCGCTGGCTTCCGCTGCTCCTTCTGCAAGGGAAAATTCAGGAAGCAGCAGGAACTCGAGCGTCACATCAGGATCCTGCACAAACCCTACAAATGCACTCTGTGTGAGTTTGCTGCTGCACAAGAGGAAGATCTCATTGGCCACGTTGAAATGACACACATAACGGCTGATTCGGGCCCAGGACAGAAGCTGTCAATGGGAGCCAGTGATAAGGGGAAGCCCGCCGGTGAATTCCCTTGTGAGGTGTGTGGCCAGACCTTCAGCCAGGCCTGGTTTCTGAAGGGTCACATGAGAAAACACAAAGATTCTTTTGAACATTGCTGTCAAATTTGCGGTCGCCGCTTCAAAGAGCCCTGGTTTCTCAAGAACCATATGAAAGTCCACCTCAACAAGCTTGCTGCTAAGAGTACCATCCTTTCTGATCACGACTCCTCTGTTAGCATGAACAATCTGAGTCAGGACCATCCAAGCAACATCTACTCCCAATACATCTCCAGAATGAACAACAGGTTCCAGGCGCCTGAGCGAGCAGATTTACCCAATTACGACCTCATGATGGCCACAGCAGGCACTGACATGAAGGTCAGAGAGGTGTTGGGGAGGATGATTTCTTCCGGTCCAGGTCCGCTGACAGACACAGAGAGTTCCTTGTTGACCTTAAGTCATCTCCACCCTCAACTGAGCTCCACTAGCATGGAGTATCTGCAGAAAGTCATCTCAAACCGAGATGCTCTCAACAACAGTGGTAGCTATGCAGGTTGGCAGATCATGTCACCTGGGATCCCTGTTGATCAGCAAATGTACAGGCCAAAAGATCATCATCAACAGCAACAGCAGCAGCAGCATCAGTGCTCTACCTATTTGCCTGAGAGGGGTGTCCCTGTGGATGATGGGAAACTGTGTCTTAGTGATACAGACGCTAAGGCTGTCAGCAGACCTGGGAGCCCAGGCAGCGTGAGTCACCACGGTCCAGCGGAGATGATCACAGAGGCAGGGAATCCCGTCAACAATCAACCAGAATCCTCCTCTACACCTACAGGTACATAACAAATCAGCAAATGTTAATAAGTCTGACAAAGAGAACTACTCATAATGTTGATGTAGAGGGTATTGTTTTAATGAGAGATGCATCAATCATTGGCTTAAGAACAATTTCCAGTCTTTGTCTTTTTTTCAAAGATTTCACCTTTTGGTATTGATTTTAGCCAATTCTGATTTCTTTGTGAAATCTATTAAGTGAGTAAATATAAAAATAAAGAAATGCCCAAATTTATGTAAAGACATATCTGGGAACAATTCTGATTAAAAATCTTTTAACCACAAGTCTTTAATAGCATTTTTAATTATACGTTTCAATGCACGTTGTACAGTTTGTTGCTCTCGCATGAATATAGCTGAACCTGATATGATCAATGCGATGAACATGAAGAGAGGATTTTCCTTTTCATAAAGAATTAAAATGTGTTAAAGTAGTTTTACTGGTGGTGAAAGTTTAGATAGTATTTCTAGTTAAGCTCCGAATTTTTCACGACCATGGCAAAATTAGGTTTAAAGCAATTATTAAATTTTTTTTTTTCCTTTTTCTGACTGGAAGTAATGTTAAGATTTTGGAGTGTTGTTTGAAAAAAAAAAATCAAATTTTTGACATTTAGATTTTGGAGTTTTTAATGATTGAGTTTCCACCGAACAAGATGATATTCAGCAAACTCTGTGCTACTGGCTGATATATTGATGAATCTCTGCTTGCCATTTATTGATTGTTTTTTTTTAATATTCCAGTTTTTTTCTGTTACAAATACGTGCTGCAGTCTTTCTGTCACTTTGAGTAGGTAGGAACGACGCCCAGGGTCAGCAACACACCACAGATATTATTTTCCACAAGGGCTTTGTCTTTCTTTTAAAGATAATGGCATCATGTTGAAATGTGGGGATAATTAGTACTCTCTATTTTATATCTGTCACATCCCCACCCCTTGCCTACGGGGGCACAAGATGTTAATGCATGCCATCTGGTGTTTTTAATGATTTGATATATACCACCCAGTGATTTTTATGATTTGATCTACCACCTGGTATTTTTATTGATAGTGTTCTTTTCCACCTGGTGATTTGGATGATTTGGCTCAATGGGTAGATGCCTTTCTTGTCATGGCATCCTGCTAACATGTTATCAAGAGGCTAAATTACTGCTGTAACAGTGTTGTTAAGGAAAGAAATGAGACCAAACTTTGTTTTATTTCTTTCATTACCAATGTGTGTGTTTTATTTTGTTTATTCTCCCTGCTGGAGTAGGACTGTTATGTACATCTGAGTCTGATGCGCTCTGGTGGGATGTGATCCAGTATCCTCTTAAATGATGTCCGTATAGCAGAGATAAATGGATCAGGTCTAATCCCCTTAGATGTTTTGTTTCCATATTGTACGCACATACTGGTAGCTGCATATTTACATGTAAATGCTGGCGGTTTTGTGGCCAAATCCCTCTCCGGTTGCTCTTTAAGAAACACATACAAACTCCGCTGTTTGCACTTTTCCCTCCTCTCCCATATCTCCGAGACCATACGGTGTCACTCCCGGAAACATTTATGATAGTTGGCTAGCTGAGGATTTGAGTGTGCAGAGTTCTGGGATGGCACATTCAGTATCAGACTCTAATTTCAGTCAATATTAAGCATGGAAACTAATTCATTGTAAAGGTCAGGCGTCATTGCTTTAGTCAATGATGGATCCGGCAGGCTTTCTCTCTCCCTCTCTCTCTTGGTCTCACTCCTCCTCCCCTCCATTCCTCCCTCTTCTTAGTCCTGTGTAATGGTAGACTCACTCTGGGGGCTTAGCACCGCATTGTTTAGCTCTGACAATATATCCCAGAGACCTCTGCAGCTGCTCCCTGCGCTCACAATGACAGATTAATTAACACAATCACACAGTGCTGGCCCTGGCTCAACGCACAGGTCTGCTGTGGGACAGATAGGTAAATCCTACACATATGGAGAACACGCACCACTTGATGAGGGTTTAATAACAAGAATAAGTTTTTTCAGTGAAGGGGGTGGAGACTGTGGAGGGGTTGCTTGTAACTGATCAAGCCTGTCTGTCTTGATGGCTGGACATAGAGGAAGGGAGACGGAAAGAGTGTTTTCTAATTCAGGAGAATGGTGATGCTGAGGAAGAATTACCACTGCCAGATGTTCAGCTTGAGGAACATTGATTAGTCCAGAATTACTGGCTGCATTATTCATAGTCAGCCCTATGGTAGTCATGAAGTTATTGATGTTCTCAATATGGATAGCAAATATAGTACAGTGGTGGCTGTCGGAGTGAGCGAGTCTGCCTTTGCTGGAAACATTCAGACGCAGCTCGAGATTTAGATATTTAACTGCAAATACCCAGCATCTTAAATTAGAAACTCTACTTTCATTGATTTCAAAAGGAGGGATGGTTACAAATGACTTGTCTGAATATCTAATCAGGACACAGTTTAAAATGCACTTTAGCTTTAATTATAATTTGAGATTAGGAGTTACAACTCTTTTTTTTTTCTTAAAGGACAAACTCATAAAAGCTACATTCTGCAGCCCCCTGACCTACATTAGGCCAGTTACATCCACGATCTGAATAAAACATGGCTAAAAAATATGAAATCTGCTGACAGTTATTAATTAGTCCCATTCAAAGCTCTTAACCTCAAGGTCAGTGAGCAGACACCATGTAATGGCGCTGTCCCTACATGTGTTTTGTTCCTTATTTCCTGCCTTCATGCCGCTCTTACTGTAAGCCACGAGAGCCTAAAGTGATAAGCGTCTGTAAAACTGTGAATGGTAACATGAGCAGTGGTTCGGCCAGAAACACAGATGAAGTTGGCTGCTGCATATAATATCACATTTCATTTTGTTGCTCCAGTTTCTTCCCTGTATCCTGTGTGTTTGCTAACAGTAAAAGCATCTTTTAACTTGCAATCTGGTGTATGAGAACTGCATCATAGGCAGAGATGAGCCCGTCTGACTGGTTTGCCTGAAGAGATTACCTGTTGGCTTTTCGATCTTCCCCTCACTTCTGTCTTTTAATCCTCTTTTTAATTATTATTGCAGATATGAGGCTCAAATTAAGCTCAAAATGCTTGTTTTCCTAGCATGCAGATAAAAAGATTTACCCAGGGAGTTCTGAACACCTGCCTTGAAATATTGTTCCGCCGTCTCCTGAATGCCATTTGGCTTAATTGACTTGGAAACGTCCCAAATGCGTCATTGACTATGTGGTCTAATTAATATTAATAATATATGCTATTATAAACATCAAAGAACATCTGGTGCCCCTGTTTTTTTCTCCCCTCACTAGTCTTGTGTGTGACTCTCACTCTGTTTCATCTTAAACCAAACCAGCAAACATGTATCTGTGTTTTGCATTTCAGGTGCTTGATTATGATATGAAGTACTGTGGAAAAGTATTTGCTCCCATGTACATTTTTTTCTGTTTCTGTTTTTTTGTTGTTGTTGTTTTTTTTTTTGTTTGTCACAGTTAGATAGCTTAGATCATCAAAGACATTTTTAAATCAACCAAAGATGACCTCAATAAATGCAATAGGCAGTTTTCAAATTTTATTTGTTAATGGAAAAGAAAAAACAAAAAAACTGTCCAACCATCCTCGCCTTATTAGAAACAAAATCATTGATATAGTCTAGGAAGGATTACAAAGCCATTTCTGATTGAGACACTGAACCATGAGAAAAACTTCCTTCTGAATAAACAGAAAACATTGAAGACTACTTTCCTCAATTAAGGTCAACATTCAAGGTTCAACAAGTGAAACAGAGTAAAAATGGCATCCAACAGGGAAAAAGAATCTAAATGATTGGTAAGACTATTTTATTTGGACAGATGAGACACAAAATGAACTTTTTGGGAAGCTTGCAACCCAGTACAACTTGGATAAAACCGACAAATCATTTCAGAAAATCGATTCAGGACCTCAAGCTCAAGCACAGTTGAGTTACCCTGCAGAACAATAACACAAACTACACTAGCAGGTCCACCTCTGAACGCACTGGACTTAGATTGCATTAGGGTTGTGTGACATGTCTTTAAACAGCCTGTTGATGCTTGAAACCTTCCAACATAACAGAAGCTGCAAGCAAGAGTGGCGCTAAATTCCTCCACTGCTATGGAGAAGACTCAATGCCAGTTATCACAAATGCTTGATGGTAGTCTTTACTGCCGATGGTGGTGCAACCAGTTATTAGGTTTAGGGGCAATTACTTTTTCACACATGGCCAAGTCTCTTTGAATAGCTTTTTTCTATTGAAGAACTCAAGAAAGGTATGTTATCTTTGTCTGAAATTAAAATACATTTGATGACACGAAACATTTTAGTGTAGCATAACAGACAAAAAAAAAAAAAAAAAACACACAAGAATTGTATAAGGGGATAAATATTGCTCACATCACTGTAGGGAGAGGGAGAGCCAAAGCATTGCTGTATACAGAATTTGATATCTACAATATAACTGCCAAATGCCCATGTAAGCAAATAATATGTGAGAATGAGATTGCATTGACGGGGATATATGGCTGTAAATCTTAAAGCCCATTTCCATATGAAATGAATCACTTGTCCAAGCCCAGCTGCACACTTTTTATTTTCCGACAGACATGGCTCACTTGAAGCATTTATATATTTATTTTTTATTTACCTTTTTCTGCCCCTCCTCTGCTGTGAACACATCCAGCAAGAAACGGATAACTCATACGCATCACTTCATTAGATGCTCTGTGTTAGGTGAGAGAGGCTTGGGTTTGTAATGATGCAGTAATTGGAGTTTTGGTTGATAAATCTAAGCTCTAAAATTACTCCCCTCACATAATGTGAGCCTCAGCACTGTAAGTAAATCTTAAACTGATTAAGTTAGCATGAACCAGGCAATCACAAAGATGGCACCCATCCAAAGGAAGAGAGAGGAGGGGGAAAAAAAACAGGAGGCAGAGGGAGTCTTCATGCTTTGTGTTGGTTTTACGGCTCTCGTGAAGGCTGGCAAATGGGTTTAGGAAGGTCCTCACTAGAAGATGAGGTCAGATATGTGTGTTTTCTGCATTTGCAGCGTGCCTGTAATGTCATCGTAATTTAAGCCACAGAATAATTGAGATATATGGTGTGTCTAAAAGAGTTCCATTAAGATGTTTGGATTTCTGTCTTTCTCTCTCTCTGTGTGTGTGTGTTTGTTTGTTACTGGAGAAAAAGGGTGTGGCACTGTTTAGGGTCTCTTTCCCGCTCTCACACGCCCTCGCACTTTTAATGTACACAGACATTAAATCACACGTATTTTACTGCACACCGCACACACACGATCATATACGGGGGTAAAAGGGGAGAACTGACTTTACTTCAAGGGCATGATTTTTCAATTTCAGCTGTGACTTTTCAATCTCATTAAGTAGAGCTCAATATAATTAATACGTGGGTGTTATTTTACGGTTTTGTAAATTGTAATAGTCGAGAAAACAGCCCTCCTTGCTCTACCATTCAGTTCAAAATTATGGTTTTGCCCACTAAAGTGGGAAACAAAATAGAGCTGCTACTACAGATCATTAGATTTGGATTTACCTCAGAGAATTACCTTAGGGTCAGATCCTAAGGTGTATGAAATGGATATTTCTGAGGCGGGGATGAATCACTGCAGTAACTTAGGTATTAGTCCATTAAAGAAGAACAATAAGGCATCAATATGCATAGAATTAAATTAATGGTGGTGGGTTTATCTCCCCATCCCAGACGCATCCCTAAAAGACACAGTATAATGTATGACCTGACCTTCAAATGCCAGGAGAGTGTTGGGCAATAAACTGCCAATATTTGTGGCTTAATGGCGCCGGATGACTTTTACTGTAATTGGAATGGCAGCGAAACAGCTGGGCTGTTTAAAGACAGTGCGAGGCAGAGGTCTGAGACAATCACTAACTCAAAATGGTCACATGGTGTGTGTTTAACCCTGCAGGGTATTTCTCTGACGGCTGTAAGGATAAAAGTGTAGGTAAACAGAGGGAGGAAGACGGTTGGATTACATTTAATTAAAAGTTATGCCGTGCAAGATCAAATCTTGTATCCAGATGGCTATTATTCACAAGCTAAAAAGGAGAAAAACTACCCTTTGTCATTTTCCACAATAACACACTTTGTACTTTTTGAATTATGTTTCCAACATGCCATTTTTCAAGTATGAAGCAAAAATAAACTCAGTTACAGTAGATGGCGTGGTTAATCAGGGCCGCTCACATGTCGACGTTATTTTTGACTCGGAAACCCACTTTACGAGCTTTGATGGAGAGCGGCTTGTGTCTGCAACATCTGCCTAGTTCTAGTTGCTTAACAATTTCACTGTTTATTATTTCTGGAAGAATCTTGTTTAGTGTTAACATCTTTGGGTGTATTTATTGCACATGGTGGTGGCGTCCATACTGTAAGATGATGGATCACTGGAGCTGAAAGCTGATTACAAGCTTGATTTACTGCAGGGCAGCACTTAAATCATTCAACTCAGCCTGGTGTGAGATTGCAACATTTTTCATGTTTAGACAACTGGTCTCAGTGTATATAAAGCAAAAATGTTCAGAATGCCTCTTATGACCATAGATTCTTAATCTGATTTGGATTATAACATGTTTCTCTTGTTATTCTTTTCATTAGGTGAGAATGTCTACAGGTGTCCAATCTCCAGTGACTATACAAGTGCACAGGCAGCCTCTCTCAGTTTCCATCTGGACCGCTACCACTTCCCCCACTGGCAGAACAGCAGAGATCTTTCTTCTCCTTTGCAGCCCAGTAGCAGCAGCAGCTCCAGTCCCAACACCAAGCACGGACCAAGATCCAGAGAAGACTGGAGTCCAGCTGCAGGGCAGTACCTTGGTCTGGAGTGCCACACCGAGGAAGCCATACTTGCCACAAAGCAGTCCAACCCCAATGATAAAGATGTGGAAGCCTCCGTGTCAGGTAAAACCAGAAAGTCCCAGTATGAGCCATTGGATTTGTCTGTCAGGCCAGAGTCTGTCCCATCTCAACCAGCCTTGTCTTCTGCTGCACTGGTGCAGCTCTCTGGCCTTTTTAGTAATGGGCTCTCGTCCACAATTAGCCGCCGGCTACAAAGTTACCCAAATGCAGCAGCTGAACTCAGTATGAAACCAGCATATCAGTGTGACCTTTTGGTGCAGGGAACAAAAGAAGACATGAACTCACAATCTTCAGGCTCCATAGGTCACGACGTTGAGGTTGCATTTGAGACATTTGAGAGGGAAGATAAAAACGAAGATTCTGCAAAGTGGAAGATGCTGAAAAACGATGCCCCTGAGTCAAAGGAGCTGGGACAGGCCGCTGCTGATTTTGAGGGTCAAGGTGGAAAGAATCAAACCAAGCTTGGTCAGTGGGGAAGAGCTGTGGCTGATACTCCCACCTCCTCTTTTGAGAGCTTGACTCCAGGACGGGCAGACTCACTCCTGCACCAGGGGGCACTGCTCTCCTTCCTCAGGTCCCAGGGGAACCTGAGCAGCCCACCTGTGAGTGCACACAAAGCCAGTGTGAACGGCGGAGAGAATGTGGAGAAAGAAACTGGAGGTGAGGATAAACGTGTCCATTTTTAACATTTTCTTTTTGTTCATGGAACTAAAATAAAAAATGGGGCCTTGTCAATTACAAAATTAATTATATTTTGTTTTCTAAAATTGTTTTCAGCAGTAAAAAATAAATGTTACTCCTCCCAGACCAAAAAGCACACATTTGCCCTGGACACCCCCCTGGATCTGCATGAAATGGCAAGAAAAATAATAGTTAGGTTTTCAAAAAATAGAGACAGAGAGAGAAAAAGATAAAAATGTCAATTTGTAACCCAGTTTTTCTCCGAGAGGGGGGTAGACTGTGTGAGATTATCAACCATTCAGCATTGTTAGCTTAGCAACAGGCTACTGTTTGCCTCTATTTCACTAGCATTTAATGAATTAAGGAAAGAAATTACCAACATATTTGTATATTTAACTTGTACCTTTATCTTTTACCACACTGAATAGATGAGTCAGTCAGCAGCAGCTCTAACCCACGTCGCTCCTGACCAGCCTATCCTAAGTGAAATTAAAGCTGCAGAATGTCACTTTAATAATCTTTTTTAATTTTATTTTTTTTACATATTTGTTAAAACTGTCATTATGTTGTGACAATATAGTATAGAGAAAAATCTATTTCTTCTGCCTTCTCCCAGATCTCTCCAGAAACAGCTATCAGAGACAGGAGAGTTTTAGTGCTGTCAATCACAATCTCAGGTGGTGCTGCTCATTCCTATGCTGCAGCTAACACAGTCTGTTGTATCATTGGTTAGCAAAGCTACCAATGACAGCAGAAAAACATTTTTTCTGTAATGATATGTTGTTTTTCCACCATTAGCACATTTATGAGTGAATGAGGTTGATTGACAGCACTAAGACCCTCCTACTGGTTCTGATTGGTTGTTTTGGTCGGAACGTTGCATTACTTCAGCCAGTAATAGTAGTTCAAGGAGGAGGTGGAGGAGATTGATTATTTTCACAGATTATTTGTCTCGTAACATACTGACACGACATGGTGACAGCTTGAACAAAAAAAAGTTATATACTGCAACTACAATGCAACTAAAATGCAACTACATATAATTTTGATGGGTCAGATAGACTCAAAAAATTGTAACAGCAGCTGCGTGGGGGGGCCCCAATTTAATTTTTTGTCATGGGCCCCAAGATTCCTGGCAGCACCCCTGCCCCCACATATAACACTTTGCATATAGGCTGGAAAGATCAAACTGGGTCTTATTGGACAAGAACACATTCCTGCACATGTTTGCTCTGTCTCCTACAAACTACAAACTTTAAATGAGACTTAATGTTTTTTTTCTCTCACCATTTTTCTATAAAGAACAGATTGGTAGAGTGCACAACTATTACTTGGCGCGTCAACAACTTCTTTTACATGCTGTGGATGTTTGAAGCTCTTTCATTATTACCATAAGTTACCAAGGGCCTTTTAAGCTTAGTCAGGTTAGGTGGACCGCCATGGTTTGTTATGTTTTCAGTTGTGCCGTACATTTTGCATTTTGGACGATGGATTAGAACATTGCTTTGTGAGCTGTCCAAAGTTGATAACCTTTACTTTTGACCTAAATTTACATTAAATTGCCACAACTTTATTTCTGATCTATCTGGTGTATTATTTGGTTAATCTGAGTTTAGATTACACATGTGTGGATTCCGTTTGCAAGGTGACTTCTGAAGCTGGTTTATTACACTGGATTTATTTTAAGGGTGCCATATTAAAAGGTTTATACATTTTATCTATAAAAAAAATCATCTTTTCCATTCACAATTATGCAGTACTTCATAGTGATCTATCACATAAAAACCCTAAATAGTGTACTGCAGTTTGTGGATCTAGCATAACAAAATGCAAAGAAAGTGCAAAGTTCAAATTTGAATGAATGCTTTTGCAATGCACTGCACAATAAAAGCATCTGTCACTGGTGCCAATTTCAGACCGCTCTCTCAAGATTCAAAGGTATGCAATGCCATCTAGTGGACAAAGCCTAGCTGGTCATCATCCTGTTACCTACTGATAAATGCTTCACAGCAGACTGCTCGAGTTAACTGGGGCTCAAACTTCAGGGCCTGCATCTGCACGTGACATCGCCAGCCACATGTATTGTGCTACACGACTCCAAAAAGAGTTTTTGGCAGGATCTCAGCCTTCATCCCCCGACAGCGGGAGTGTGAAGAGCGAGTGTGAGTGTGTGTGAATCATGCCAATTATGAACAACACACTTCCTTTATACTTATAGCACTCGAGTTTTTTTTTTTTCCATTCTTCTCTTCCCAGATCTTAACTCCCATCTCAAATAAAGGCTAAATAAGACACAGGTGTGTGGCACTGATTAGCTGTACACTTTAAAGGATGATATAATCTCCTTGTGTGATAGGTTACAAATCGCCAAGCCGATGGAGCCCACTGATGGAGAGGCTTAAGCTCTTGTGCTGGTGTGATATGCTTGCTGAGTGCAGATTTAATAATGCTGTCTCTCAGGAGAGGGAATCCAACAGCTGGGGTCTTTGATATGCATGTATTATGAGTGCAACATGATACACCTTCCCTCTGATCCCCCTCTTATTCAGAAACTCAATATGTTCATGTGAAAGACAGGAAAGTGCCTGTCAACTCCATTAGGGATTAACATCTGTTCCCTTTCTTTATGATTCTAACAGCAAGATGTAGTTTTCTATTTGATTGTACAGATGGTTATTCTAATATGCAGAGAAATGCCCCTCCCCTCCACCTCCAGTCTTATAGCTGCTGCACTGTTTATGTTTCTTTCTCTGTTTTATTGTTTATGATGCTAATTGGATTAAAATATTACACAGGACACCAAAAGGCAGAGGAATTCTTGGTTTGTGCCATTCAAAGTGTGCTTCAGTTCACTTTAAGATGTCTGCTAGTCATTAAGCCACATTTTTTTCATTCAGCATATTCTGCAACTGTTGCCTATATTTCTCAGTAATCGGATCAATGCGAGCTATTTTAGGCGTTCCCTGCCTTCTGTTTGCTGCACATTGATCGTTTTTGCCTCGTCCCCGAGGAAGTGAATGTCAAAGATACAATAAACACCTGTCAGTCACAGTGGACTGTGAGATGGGTAGCTGACATTGGGACTCCACTGAATGTCCTCCAAAAACCAAACTGAGCAGGTGGCCCTGCAGTCTGTCCTGTCTTCCGTGATGACCAGGTGGCTTTGTCACGGGGCTGTCTCCTGTTGCCCCCATCCTCACCATACTGGATGGCACGTCGAGTGGCATGGTGACATATTGCTGGGCAGTTTGGACATGGAGTGATGTGTTTGTGATGACAGTTCGGGTCGGCTCCAATGTGCCAGCAGTGGTAATTGGCCAGATGGTGACCTCTGGTTGAACCTGTCTGCATGCTCATTATTCTCATCGAACCCTCCCAAGTGTGTTAAATGGTCCGTCAGTGTGGCACTACTCGGCCTGAGCCACTAGATGGCAACATTTACCATATTTAGCCCGGAGCATATCTTTAAAATAACTCTCTTCTGCCCATATTGGCTATTTTAAGTGTTTTAGAAAGTCATGTTTTTAATATGTAGAAAAATGAAAGCTAGATTAAATCTATTTTTTCCACACCTTTTTCCATTAAACTAATATCTGTTGATTTTATTACAGATCTTGTGTATTAGTCTATGAGCATGACCCATCTTCACTTTACTGCATTTTTGTCTCCCCTTTGCAAAAAAAATCCAAAACGTTTTGGTTTTGGATGTATGCTTTGTTTTCCTCATATATCCTCTTCATCTTCAGCTCTCTGAAAATAGTATAAAACTTTGAACGTTTAACCTTCAAGCTCATGATGATACTACCAACATGTTTCACTGGCATAATATTGTTCTGATCAAACTTTTGATGTAAAAAATAAATAAATACACATACTTATATTTTATGGCGAATTGTCGTCACATCTTCATTGCATCCAGAACTGGCCAGAAATTCCAGCAGCTTTTTAAATGTTGCTTTAGGCCGCTTGGTAACTGTTCTGATCAGTTTTTCTTTAATTTTTTCTTACATTTTTAGGAATATAATGTATTATGTAGTTGTAGAGCAGGCACCCCGTATACAATGGCTATCAGAAATGGGTACATGTTTTGCACTCTTCTCTCTGTACCAATTTTCTGTGTGAACAATCACTGTAGTAACATTAGTAACACTGACAATTGGTAATATTATTTTTGGACCATACTTCATCCATTCAACAGTGAGTATTTTCACTGTGTTTCATTGTTTTATCCAGTGCTGTGTAAATTATTTAATAGCCTTCCCCTGACTGATACCTGTTGATAATGAGATCCTGCTGATGCTGTGGAAGTTCTCTGTCCATGGCCTTTGCTGCAGCACTCATAAAACATCTGAATAAATGTGTTATTATTATTATTATCTAGATAATCAGCCTGGCTATCTGCTAACGTAGAAAATCTGCAAATGCTGCTTTAGACTCTCATCATATAATTTGTACTTTTTAAAAAAAAAAAGACATTGCCTTTGTAACAAGAGTGGGTGACGTTCCTTTTGTTTCATGACATGAAAATTATCCCCTTTGTTTCTTGCAAATAAGAGAAATGTGTTTAACTAACTGGTAGTAATTCAGATCACTCAGTAGGTTCATCTGGTATCTCTTTTAAAGAGATTTAAACACTCAGAGTAGTTTGGATTTTTTTCCTGGAGTTTAACGCTTTAAAACCTTGTTGTTACCTGTAATGGTAGAGAAAGGAATGAGAGTGACTCAAAGGAGCAAGAACACATTTTGAGCTGTGTACAAAAGACTTTTCCTTCAGACCTGAAAGGGAATGTAATTCAGAGAGCATCTTAGAGACCTAGAAAGGAACTTCACCAGTAAAAGCCAGTTTTGATTTTTTTTTTTATGAGGGTAAAAACCAGCTTTGGTTTTAGGCCCCCTTGGACTAGCTGTTAGTTTCAGCTTTTAGGTCCATCTAATCTGGATTTATATGAAATATAAACTCCAAAAGAGCTATCTTCTGC